GCCGACGTCCTCCCAGCGGTTTCAATTCCTTCCTGCCGCGGGACCGCTGCCCGCGAGTGCTCCACGGGAACACGAGTGCCAAGTGCGCGTTACCACGGCCGAGGGTAGGGGGTTGACGATGACAACCATCGAAAACTGTCCGCGTTAGCAGCCTGGATCGCGCTAACCTCCGTTCCTGCGATGAACCAGCTCCCAGAGCATGTCCCAGTCCGAGGTTCGCGGTTCGCCTCGAGATTTAGAGCATCGGGCTTCTCCGGGACGACCTCTGTTTACTCTGGCCTGCGATACGATCGACAAAGCGCCGCCGTTGAATCTGTTGAGCAGAAAGTTCGAATGAGTCACGGGAATTCACGTTGATCCGGGGTTCTCGTTGAAACGTCGCATCGGTGTCGTTCTATAGTTCCTGTCGTTTGTCCAGAGTCTGATTGCCTGGGAAAGGGGGGTTGAAGAATCATCGATGCAGTACCGTGCTTTCGATCGAGACGATCCGAGCGAGTACCGATCGCGGGACACGAGGGGGACACGCCGAGAGCCTCTGTTTTCACCGCGGAACAGATATTACTGGCCGGCGTGCCGCGCGTTATCGATCCCCGCATCCCCGTCGGTGATGCATGCTCGCCGCGCCGCGCCTCGAAGCGCCTCGCCTCGCCTCGTAACGCCTCGCCTCGCCTCGCCTTGCCTTGCCGAGGCACGCACGCACGCGAGCTCTACCCCGGTAAATAAACGACGATTTCGATCGTTCGCTGGGCGCTCTCTCTCTCTCGGTGTTCCCGGAATCGGGAGCCGTGGATTCGAGTGCGGTACTGCCTCGATCGAAGCTCGGGATGACTCTCGGAGATCGTTATTGGGTAGGAGACGTCGCTCGGCTCGTTTCGCTTTGGTTTGTCGTGTGAAACTTGTTACACTGGACCGAGCGGGTGTCGCTGGGTTCAATGAGATCGATGGTTTTTCTTGGGGTTCAACCCTCTTAAGGGGACTCTTTCAAGTATTAACCCTTTGCACTCGAACTAATTTTCACTAGAAATATTCAAAATTTTTATGTAAAATATGGACGACATTCTTTGAATTTAACTAATGAGAAAACACGTAAATTAAGGAACCAAGCTGTTATATTCCAATATTTCACGTACCGATGCGTCGTACAGAACTTAATATTCTACATAAGACCTTTCAACTTTGTTATATCGAATCAAGTGGTGAATGATAGTCATCTCTCGTTTCTTACTAGAAATGTTTAACATTTTTTGACGAAGCGAATATTAATATTTTACTACAGAAAAATATTTTCTTACAGAAATTAATACCATATATGGTACACGTGGCTCTGAAAGTGTTAAGGGGATGCACGAAGATACTTAACCGATCGAAGCTCGAGACGGAGGATCGGTCTTTAACACGTTGAATGCCATGGGGTCACCGGTGACCAATTAAATCGAATTATAGTTCATTCAATTGAAAGACGATTATTCGACGATATTTCTATATTATAAACAACGCTACCGAATGCGGTGACAGCAGGATCAGCGTGCAATAATAACGCGATTTAATCGAATGATTTAACCCTTTGAACTCCGAAGGCTCCAATATTGCACCAGTTATAATAATAAGTATTTTAATGAATCTCAAAGAAACTAAAATTATTCGATTTTTCACACATCCAAATTTTGTACTAACAAGGAGAATAAAAGATCGAATAATTTTCGCTGAGAATACTATAAAAATTAGTTACAGTTGCGTAGATTATAAAACAACCTGGAGTGATAAGGGTTAATATTCTATTTCTTCCATTTTGTGCATTTCGTTCTACGAAATCGTGCGGCGTTCAACGTGTTAATGACATTCATGGATATTCTCAGCAGAAAAACAAACTGAAACGCTCGCACTCGCGTGACGAGGCACGTTCATCGACGAAAGGGTATTCTCTACAGCTCGGATATTGCGTAATAAGTTCCTAAATTCATTTTCATGCTGCGAGTATCTCGAAACGGTCCGCGTAACTTCAACCGTGGTATCCCGACACGATGGTTTTCAAACTAGCGTGCACGATAACCGAGAAATTAATTTTTACCGGTCGATTAATCGACTTCGAGCAAAGCGCATTCTATTCGTCATTCCTTGATGAGTTAAATCAATGATACTTAGCTCGTTCGACAACTTAATGTCGGCGGAGCGCGTGCAGAGGATGTCGAAGTAGAAAAAATTTCGGTCGTCTTCGTCGATGGGCTGTCGAGGAAAGGTTTGCTGAGAGATTCAGTGGACCACGTTCTGTAAAGCCTCGCTACTTGTTCAGTTTTGCTCTTGATAGATTCTGTAAAAACAGTAGCGCCTCGTTGCTTGTCTTGAACCGCTTCTCAATAATGCTTCTGTCATTATTTCTGTCGAATTTTTATATAGACCTCGGGAGCAATTCCAAGTTCGAATTGTGCTGGTGTCTAGTTGGCTAAATTGTTCTGTAATGCCTCGTCACTTGTTCATCTATACTCTTGAGAGATTGTACGACAACCATAGTAGCGCCTCGTTGCTTGTCTCGAATCGCTGTCATTATTCCCGTCGAACTTTAATACAGATCGCGAAAGTGTTTCGTTCGAATGATTTACACGACTGTCTAGTTGCCTAAATTGTCCTGTAAAGCCTCGTTACTTGTTCATCTACACTCTCGACAGAGAAGACCGTTCTACGATTGAAAACCACGGTACCGCCTCGAGACTGGTCCATCGATCAGTCGTCCGGCCGGAGCAACAGCGTTCCACGTCCCCTTTTTCCTCGTCGGCGAGCCATTATCGAGGCACTACCGTATTAACGATCGAAATTGACAATTAAAGACTCTTTTCTCCCGGCGCCCCTGGCCCTCGCACCGTCGCGCGATATTATGTGCAATTAAGTTTCTGTCGTAAACATGCCACGCGTCCGCGCGCACCGTATCGGGATCCGATTGATTAATCGGCCTGATTAATTGCCAGGCTCTGCGACCCGACCATCGGCTATCTCGCGCGTCCAGCGAGAAATTCGGAAATTATGCCGCCCGGCCGGCCGTCGACTAATCGAATCCGCAAAAATACGAGTCCTGAGAAGGAAATGGGCGACGAGCGCGGTCCTGCGGACCGGACGCACCGGGAAATGGGAAGATCGAACGGGGAACCGGGAATCCGCAATGATCGCGCACGAACCTGTGCGAATCTTCGGTATCGTTGTTTATGGGAGGCACGGTCGCTTCGAATTTTTATCCGCTTTCATCCTGTGCACCGTCGAATGGCCGGCGAATGGTCGAAAGGAATTAACACGTTAAGCGCCACGAAAATCTTAAGCGTTTTCCCATAGAGTTTGTCATTTGTAGCAAAGAAGAGTAGGAATACTTATGAATTGTTTGGCGTTGCATCGTTTGCGTTACACTATTATCAACTTAGTTGCCTTATTAAACATTTTTATTTCACATCGGTTGTCTTGTATATTACGATTGTTTTTTAGTCATTCAGAAGCGTCAGTCACCAGTGGCTGACATGGCGCTTAACGTGTTAACCGCAGATTTCGAACGGAATTTCACATTGAAGCTACTAGATCGGTAGGAAAGAAATTATAATGAAATTAACCGTTTGCGGAAGATTGTCGATATTTCGAGATGAAACGTTCATATTTGGAAGATTAAGTCGCAGGCGAATGATCTAATTACTCGGACAGCAAGAGAAATTAGCGTCTAGTTTCTGTTTCTGCTATTGTTTAACACTAGAACTACCGTACCAGTCAAAATGACTGGTTTCGATTTTTTTGTTTAGCAATTATTGATATTTTCGAAGCATTGAATATTCGAAATGATTTTGAAAATAGTTTCATTTCAGTACTATAATGAGTGTCTGAAGAAACTGAAAATAATCTATTGTTACAATTTTTATGGGAGTTGCATATTAATCGTATTAAATAGTCGGTAGTTCTAGTGTTAAGCAATTAATGTGTAATGTAGCTTCATCTGTTGATGGTTAAGTACATTTCAAAAAATTTTCGTGCGCAAACGGTTAAAGGATTGATACTTTATCTATTCGTGATTATTGACGAGTATTTAAAAACGAATCGTTAACTGGAACTAGCAAATAGGTCGGAATAAGAAATTCCTGATCTCCTTTTCTCGCGGTTATTCAAATAATAGATGTCCTGAGAAATGGTTAATGAAATTGATTCAGCAGCACGCGAATCGATTAAAGCTTCAGATGCACTAGAGTTTCTATACATGAATTTCGAAATATCAATTCAACTGCTCGGTAGTGTGCGTTAACAAGCGTAAATATTATTCAATTCGTTCGAATGCAAATTGCATGCTGTCCCTCTGTTATCGATGATCATACCCTGCACACGGTGATACAGAACAAGACTGGAATTCTCTCTTGTTTTCGATAAATTATTAATAACAGTGTGGTTAGATCGATCGCAGTTCGGAAAGAAATTGTAGGGCGAAGGGTTAAGTGTATGCGAGTTTCAGTTATTCTGTAATATCCTCAACGAAATAATTATTAACACTAGATTTACACAATATCTACCGATATTGAATTCTATAAACATTATTTAGTAGTTTATCGATCTTGACTCGTGCAATTATGCGAATGCACATTACAATACTCTAATTTCGAAGCTAATTCCCCATATAAATACAATTCCCTAGATCCAATGGAATAAACTATAAAACAAACGCAAATCTACCGTTAAATTTCACTCAGAATTTCACATTTCCTTTTATCCATTAAACCTTCCATTAATTCCTACATTAATCAATCAGTTCTTCAGCTTTCATGTTTCAGTTTGGAAGACTAACTCGCGAACAAATGATTTAATTAGTCGAATAGCAAGAAATCAGACCGCAGTTTTCTTTTCTTATATTAATTAAGCAATTGATATGTAATTCAGCTTCATATGCTGAAGGTTTCGCCATCAATTGAATATTTCTAGTGAGAAATTTTTCGAGTGCAAAGGGTTAATTCCGTGTTCCCCTGACCGCGCGCTGACAGTTCCGAGTATTCATTATCCGTGCGCTAAAGACACACGGCGAGTTTTTCCTTTCCCAAGGAACACTGTCACCGATTCGATCGCGGTTACCCGCCGGTTTTATCGTTTAATGCCCATCGACACGCGGCCACGGCTCGCCGAATGCGTCTCACGAGCCGCGGTCGCGACAATTCACGGCGTTGTATTATTTATCCGGCGCAATAAAAACGAAGCCGGCCCCGTGAAATTACGCGAATCGGGGAAGGACGATCGTTCAGCCTGAAACTCGCCCGACGCCGTTGCGCAACACCGGGAAACAGATTCTATTTATACGAACGCGAGAAT